ATTGATTCAAACATGGTATCAGAGTTTAATGGCGCAACTTGCACTCACTCGAAGATGCCCGGACTTACTCGAGATTTGTAACTGTCAAACCAACCACAAGCGACTACGAGCTTGATCGATATCCGTTTGATCCGATTTAAATATTTCTATAAAACAATACCAATTGTTCTTACTCTTTCCTGAAATCCTCGTGCTCATACTTCAAAATCTCGAACGAGTTCGACCTGCTAGGAACTTACTGGCACTAAATAGTGCGAGCTGTTCAAACCACATCACATTCGGTGGAACTTTGGTTGATCGAACACCACAGGGCTGTGGGCATGTGATGTAATAGTAGTGACTTTAGTGGCTAACGAAAATAGTGACCAAATAGTGACTTTTAATCAATCAAAAATTGAACAATACTGCCATTTATTGATCGGAAAGATATGTTTCCAATGTTCCGTTGATTGCAATTGCCACTTCGAGAAATTTTATAAACTCACAAGAAGATGGGCATGCGCATTTTTCTAAAAAATAAAACAAATGGTTCAAGGATCCCATAAATTTTTTATCGGAATATGAACATGAATTTAATAAGCAAGAGTACCAATTCTAACTTTCATTTTTTACTCTGCACTCTTTTTTTTTGTTATCAATTTATTTGATAAGGCTCAACCGAATTAACTTTACAGAGCCGAGGATTCTTGTTCGCTATACAATACATCTTAAAACTATAGTCAAAAGGTAAAACACAATAAACATTTTATCTTCCGCTATCCAATAAGTCTCCTCCACCAGAACGGGAGCCGCTTTCAGTGGTTTCATCGTATGGCAGATTTGCCAACGGGGGTCAGAGCGCTTCCATTGCAGCAATGGACACAAAACGTGGTCAGCACTCACACACTCATCACGAAACGGTTGCTTTCCAAAGTCGACGACGCATCGACTGAAAGAACTGCTGATGAAGAACAATAAGGGGACCACACAATGGTTGCTGCCGAGTAAACAGACGATGGCGTGACACACATTGAGACTGGTCTGCTTCTCACTCTGCACTCTTTTGTCTACCTCGATTTTTTTAAACAAACAATTTACCTCGCAATTTACTAAGTTGATATTAGATGCAAATCGGGAATTGGGGATCGCAAAATTGAGACAGAGAGACAAATGTTCAAATTCAAGAATTTAGACAAATTTTGACAATTTTAGGACAGTCAATTTTAAAGATCTAGGATATAGATGAAGCGATGCGTTTAGCAACTAGAAGAACAGCGACCTAGAATTAAATGTAGATCTAAGTTAGCTATGAGTATTTTAATAAAAATATCGTTGTCTTCTTCGAAGCCGCTATAGCGGACTGGTCATCTCAATTCCATAGAAAGTAAAAATTCAGTCTATGAAAAAATCTATGAGCTCCCATGTTGTTGCGATCTGTTTTGAGCTCTCATTAAATAATTCTATCTTTATCTACCTATCTAGTTAGTCTCTGTTCCGATTATAATTATATAGAACTCTTGAAGAACTTCGCCAAAGACTAAAACTTTCTATAGATAGTCGAGATACAAGTAAATTCTGGAAATTCAATGCAAACTAATATGACTATCATCCAGTAAGCAATGGGCATCTAAACAACTGGGCTATTGACGGCCACCCTCTGGGTGGTAAGCAAATTTCTTGAAGATAGACTTTCTACCGTATGCGTGATAATGTTTGCACCATCGTACAAATAAGGATCCCGTTTCAGCTGTGCATACAATGTCTTGGTTTTCTTTACATGCACGTAACCTATAGCTTATACCGTAGAGGCTGTGTATAAAAGAAAATGATTTACTTAGTTTGGCACCATGACGAAGTGGCAGCGTATTCGTGATTTGTCCCACGCGCAAATGTCGCAAAAAGACATTTCAATCGCCGTGGGAGGGTCCCGGTGGAGCGTCAAAAGGGTTTTAGACCGAGAAAAGAAAGGACAACTATCCACGAAGGTGGCCACAGGTCGTCCGAGGTCAGCTCGGGTTCCGAGGGTTATCGCTGCTATCAAAAGGAAGATTCGGGTGAATCCAGTGCGTTCAATAAGGAAAATGGCAAACGGGATCAGTGACTTTACGGCACGGAAGATTTCGGGCGAAGTCGAGGGCACGGAAAAAAAAAACTTACATGATTACCAACCGCATCCGGGAGCTACGAGTCGAATGATGCAAGAAAATCTTGAACTTCCTTAAGCGAAAAGTCCGGTAATCCTGTTCACCGACGAGAGCATGTTTACCGTCGATCCCGTATCAAATTCCAGAACCGACCGGTATATTAGTTCTCTTCCGGTAAAAGACGTGGCCGACGAGCATAAGAACGTGTATCTGACCAAGTATCCTGCTAGCGTTATGGTGTTTGGATTGGTGGCTTCCAATGGCCAAAAAATGGACCCGGTGTTCATTCCAGCAGGCGACAAGGTCAACACGGAGGTCTACATCGGCATTTTAAGTAAGTATGTTCTTCCGTGGATCAAAGAACAGTACGGTCCGAAACTAAATGTTGTATTTCAACAAGATGGGGCTCCGTGCCACACCTCGAACCGCACTCAGCAGTGGTTGCAGGAACATCTTCCGTTCTGGGCGAAGGATATGTGGCCGCCATCCAGCCCCGATCTTAATCCGCTGGATTACTCAATATGGCGCGTCATGGAGGCCAAGGCCTGTTCTAAACGCCACCCGAGTACAGCAAGCTTCAGACAAACATTGACCCGTACCTGGAGAGAAATGGATCCACACTACATTATTAGAACCTGCCGTGCATTCCGGAAGCGCGTGGAGGCCGTAATTGCAGCAAGTGGAAACTCGATCGATGATTAACATAGTTTAAGACTCTGAGAAACATCCCCCTTTTGAATAAATAAAAAAACTCAAAAACGAAATTTTTGAGATTTTTTTTAATTTTGACATTGCTTAATGGTGCAAACATTATCACGCATACGGTAGATGGCTTGGATCTTGACAGGCTTATGTTACATCTTATTCAGGCAGTTTTTTTTTAATACAAGACTCCTCTCTGCGGGGAACTACCCATATTTGGGGAGATTTGAAATAGTGTGTAATAAATTTATTGAAATCATAGTGTGTAATAAATTTATTGAAAGCAGACGAGCATGGAAAAGCTATAATAACATATCTTATGACAGATCAGGGGGAATCCATAGGACCAATGGGGTTGTCCATAATTCAAGTGATAAACCAATAAAAATCGTTAGTTTCCCACTAATTGTTGGTATAGAGCAGTTGGTTGAACGATCAAAATCTAAAAATAAGATCAAAATCTCAATAGCCATTCCCACCACTCAAAACAGTAACAAATGACCTCGGCCGACACCGGTCGGAATAGTTTCGATGTGTTTGACAAATGTGTAATGTATGCACATTTTGAATTGATTTACGAACTCCCTCCGTCAGGTGAGGTATGCATGCGAGTCACTAGAGACTCGTCTAACCACTCTCTTACCCTCCGCTTAGTCTATTCCCATTGCCAACACGGGGTTTTGAAAAACTGGGACATGTGTTTGAATTAGGAGATCGGTCGTCCTGTCCACGATGCTACAGGATTTGCGCTGATGTAGTTTGACTAATGGGAATTTGTGCGGACAGCTAACAGGAAAAAGAAACGCTTTGCTCGCACACACTTCCGGCGTACGGTGCTCCATGTCACCACGGCGGTCATAATTCAATCTGCACTTGTAAGCGTCTCCGGCGTGGTTCCTGTGTCATCCGACTAAAAACAGAATGTGATGAATGTGTAGATGCTTCCGATAATGAGGAAAAATGAGCGCAGGTTTTGTGTCGTAGTTTAGATTTTAATTAATTTGTCGTAGCGTTTCTCTAACAGGTGTTCCACTAATATATTTTTACGCTACTTTTTAATTTGGCAATGTTCCTTAAAACTACTATAAAATTGACAAAAACCATTTTAAGCAACGCTTGCTAAGAGCATCTTCGACACGCTAATTCACTGATGACAACGAACGCGGTTAAGTAGTCGATAAAAGATACGCACAATCCTCGTTAGCAAATAGTTTCCAGTCCAGCACAGCAAAGACCTCAACAACGCCGTCAAAGAGGCAGAAAATGATTAATTGCTCGCTAAATACACGTCGCACCCCTTGAGGAATTTTATGCGTTTTTTTTTTTCTGTCACCGATCATCAAAGTAGCCGTGGCCAGATCGAAGAGACATCACCAGGATAGCGTGACGAATATTGCGATTAGGCTGCCCAATCGTGTTACGGCGACCATCATCAATGGCGACAATCGCTCCATCTACAATCAACGATAGATTTCTACGTTTGCGTTGGTTTTAGAGAAAGGGAATAATGTTCCATCAATTTTCTTCGTCTGTTCAGCCAAGAGACACCTGCGACAGCTGTCAATGTCTTATGTCCACTCCCTGCCGAGAGTCATCACCCGAAATGTGACCTCCACCACGCTGCGTCGAAAACCTTCTCCTTTCCTGAATACGATGCTGCAAAAGGCGCATCATTCAACCTAAGTTGTCGTGCTCTGCCTCTGCGCAACTATATGGAATGTGGCCCTCCGTGACCAAATTGGCATGTCTTTACGTCTTGTAAATATTAGACCGGTACAATACCTTTAGCTTTCAATCACATTACATTTGAACTAAGAAACAGGAACATTCGTTGCCGGACTAGTCTAACAGAAATTCTAAAAAAGCAAACGACACGGGTTTAGGCGAGAAAAGCGGCAGTTAACTCGAAGATGCGCGTAATTTCAACGCCTCGGCGCAATAACAACCGTGACCGACTGCATATGAGCAAATCAGCGAGTGTTGATAAAGAAAAAAAAAAAAACAAACTGCGATGGACATTAGCGATAGTAATAAAAAAAGACGCACAGCCTAGGGTTACGCAAGAGAAAGGTTGTGGGAATGTGAGGGTTAAACGGTTTTGCAAACGGTGGGTGATTAAGTCTATAGCATGTTTTTACTCAAGTTCTTTTTTTTTCTCTAATTTATTCCTTGCAGATGGTCGCGAAGAGAACGTTGTACGGACGAAACGTGGTCGGAAACCGCGCGTTTCTGTCGTGTCGCAAAGGGTCGACGAGGAACCGAGTCAAAACCTGGACAGCAGTGACAGCCAAGGAGACGTTACACCGGTGGTACCTCCAGGGTTTCTAAGCCCCTCGGTGCAGGAGTACTTGGAGCTGGGCAAATCTATTCCAGGTAGGTTGGATTATTAATATTTGCTGAACTAACAGTGGGTTGTTGCTATTCCGAATCCAATTGCGCACTGGGGACACAAACGTTAAAATGTATCAAAATGCAATAAATCATGTTCGGGATGAAGGAACTTGATCAAATATAGTCGTTCTCTCAAGAAACGAATAGTGCAATTTGGGGTTTAGATGGATTTTAAATAACTAATTTTTTTTTAATTTGACACCCTAAAGGGCGAACTCGAAATTATTGCGACACCGAAAATGTCATGCCAATTTTCTTATAATGTTTAGAATCAAACCAAAATTTTAGGGTAGTTTTATACATATATTTACTTCAAAAATCAAAAGAAAAGTTAATCGATGGAGCCTTGAGTGTAAAATTGAACGCATTTTCGCTTGATGCCCTCCATCAAAGCCTTTACAGTGTCATCCGGTACCAGTTTCTCAGTTTTTTTTTTCCATTTTCTTAACATGTCCTTCTCGTCTTTGACTGTCTTCTTGCTCTTCCGAAGTTCCCGCTTCATTATTGCCCAGTACTGCTCCACCGGGCGCAGCTCCGGACAGTTTGGCGGATTCATGTCCTTTGGAACAAAATGGACAGAATTGGCCTCATACCACTCCAGGACACTCTTAGAATAGTGGCATGATGCCAAATCTGACCAAAATAGCGGAGCTTCGTCGTGCTGCTGCAAGAACGGCAAAAGGCGCTTCTCGAGGCACTCAGATTTGTAGATCTCGCCATTTACTGTGCCCTTTGTCACGAAAGGCTCACTCCTCAGTCCGCAAGAGCAGATGGCCTGCCAAATGAGATATTTGGAGGCGAACTTCGACATTTTCTTCTTCTTAAATTTGTCGTCCACATCAAACTTGCCGGTGAAAAACTCCAACCCCGGAATTTGCTTAAAATCGGCTTTTATATACGTTTCGTCGTCCATCACACAGCAGCCATATTTTGTCAGCATCTTCTCGTAGAGCTTCCGTGCCCGAGTTTTAGCCGTCGATTGTTGCCGCTCATCGCGGTTTGGGAAGTTCTGTACCTTGTATGTATGTAGTCCAGCTCTCTTCTTTGCATTCTGGACGTAGCTCTGCGACATGCCGATCTTTTTAGCCAAATCACGGCTTGAGACGTTGGGATTTGCTTTAATCATCCGCTTCACCTTTCCCTCCGTCTTTTTGTTCTCCGGTCCCGGTTTTCTTCCAGCTCCTTTGCCGTGGTCCAACGTCAACCGCTCCTGGAACCGCTTCAACACTCTGGAGACGGTTGAATGGTGAATGTTCAAAAATTTTCCCAACTGCCGGTGCGACAGGGTCAGGAAATTCCAGGTGTTTGGAAAGAATTTGTTCTCTCAACTCGCGTTGGTTCACCTCCATTTTCGTTGAATCGAAAAACACGACTTCGAGTTTGACAGCATGTACACAATACACATCAATGAGAAAGTGTGCAAAATTTGGTTGATTTTTACCCAATGGTAAAAAAGTTATGCCCTGTTGAATGTGTCGCAATAATTTCGTGTTCGCCCTTTAATACGGTTCATGCCTATGAATTTCTGAGAATTGTGCAAAATGATATCTTTAATTGATGATAATCTCTTTTTTAACTTATAATTCTTATTATTTTTAAAATTCATAAATTGGGGCAAATTAGGTAAAAATGTCACGATGAAATGAGGATTGCAACGATTTTTGCCTGAAATTATTGCTGGAAACTTAATCTAAAATCTCAACATTCGAAACGATTATTGATAAAAAAAAAGTTACGAATTGGAGCTCGTTGAACATCTCCGAATATCTCTGAATCTCTCCGAAATCAGAAATTCGAAAATCCTCTCTGAAATCTGAATCTCTCTTATTCCCCTACACTGATGGTGCAGAAAATTTACCCATGAGAGAACTCGCTCCTTTGAAAGGTTGATGAAGAATTTTAGTTTCTAGAGATCTTTTGGAGAAATTCGGTGATGTTAAGGCGTAAGTAACTAAGGAAAAATCCTAGGGTGGACAAATGCATAAACGAACAATTTTTATGTCTAAGGTAAATAAGTAATTGAAGTAAACATTCTAGGGAGGACTACATTAATCTTAGGGGGCTGTAGCTCCTCCACCTAGCCCCCTCTTTTCCCTTGTTGGGTATATTCATCACTGCAACCATTACTTTGATCTATTGTGATATATTCTCCGTTTTTATTTTGCTTTATCAGTATGTCATATCACTATTTTGTGAAGCGACCGACATAGACTGACCAAAAGCATTTTCCCAGCAAGGTATTACATTTCGTATGGGACCTGCATTCCAAATATCAAAGGGTTCTGCCAGCCCTTTATCCAGAAAAATACGCCTTTTATTGAAGATTACTGCACAAGAGCATAGCAGATGATCAGAGTCTTCCTTTTCTATGCCACAGAATCGACACATATCCTCTTGAAGTTTTCCTATTAACTTCAAGTGATATTTATATGGACAATGTCCTGTTATCAAACCAGTATAGACACTGAGATCTTTCTTTTATAATTCAAGAATTGTGATAGTACACTGAAGTCTTTTTTTACACGGTTTTTTTACGCGGTTTTTTTTACACGGTTTTCCACGATTTACACGGTACGTTTTTAACGATTTCTCGACAACGATACAACCTATCGACTTGATTCCAATCACATTATCCGTTTCAAGCTATTTGTAATCGAATGGCATACTTAAAAAAAAATCACAATTTTTGGTGTAAATACAGAATTTTTTTAAATATGTCTATATGGACCATATCATGCTTTAATTACAAATGGCATCAAAATCCGATTTTTTAAAAACATTTAAGCATGCGAAAAATCAAAATCTCGTAGGTTTTTTTTTACACGGTTTTTTTTACACGGACCGTATCCCCCGTGTAAAAAAAGACCTGAGTGTAATTGAAATGTCCGGAATTATGAACCGTTTCGATTGTCTAGCAATGGAAGTGTTGTTCCAATTGGTCTCCATTTTCATTTTTTCCATTTCTTGATCTCCATTTTAAGAGAACAAGCAGAAACTCCACAGAATGGTTCTGGTCCTATGAATTCTTGAGATAATCTAGCATGACTAACGTGTCGGCTTTTTCATTCCCTTCAATTCCAGTGGTCAGGAACCCAATATAGGTTTACTTGGCCCCCTCTTAGTTAATATGTTTAAGAATTTCTGCAAGGCCATCGAAGACGTTTAAGGAAACCTCAGGGAAGTTTAGGAAAGGTTAAATTGTTTATTATTCAGCAATTCCATGGACAAAAATGTGTGGATTGGTAATTTTGTTCTTTATCGAAAAATATTAGACCCGTATTTTTTATTTCGCCATTAGGGTGGTTCTTTCCGTGTTTTAGGGTGGTTCAGATAATCACAATATTGCTAATTTTTATTTTTTTTTAAACCAAAATTTTGGTACCAAAGCGCTTGGTTCTCTCCTCGGTGTGAGTGAAGAGGAAAGTGTATCTGCTACGTGCACCGCATCCAACAAAATGGTGCGCGCACCGTAGGTCGGCTTACCCTACACCTGGCGTTTAAGCGCACCGATTCGTAAGTGCGAGAGTGCGGCACATCGTCAGGGTTGCCAAAAGGAAATCTGTGTTTTTATTCAAAAAAATCTTTTCATCTTAGTTTTTGTCCAGAAAATCTGTGATGATATCTGTGTTGATAATTTATTAATTCAGTGCCAACATTTCAAAGGGGCGTAATTGCATTTGTAAACAATTTAAACGCGAATAAAAGCTCACTCATGAAAAATGATGACACCAGCAGGTAGAGGCTACCAGCTAGCATTGTTATTTTGGAGAGGTATGATTTCATTCGCGAGAAATTGACGGCTAAAGTCATTGTTTACAAAACCAATTACGCCCCTTTGAAATGTTGGCACTGAATTGAATCCTTTAAAAATGACATTTGAAAAGTGATTGAGCAATTTTTCTGACGAGACATAGATAAAAATATATGTATCATAAATTGGCAAAAAAAATACCTCTGACAGTTCTCATTCTCCTTTTTCATTCAGCAAAAAAGCATGCATAGATATGAAAGTTTGTGATGATAAAATTACACTGAAGTGAAAATAATGTGTTGTTATTAAACATCTCAAGTTTAATTTATTAAATGTTTGATCATATTTTAAAAAATCGGTGTAATCTGTTAAAATCCTAGAAATCTGTTATCTGTGAATACAGAATCTTGGTTTTAAAAACTCTGAAAAATCTGTAGAAATACATATTTATCTGTATCTGTAGTTCAACTAAATTCCAGTAAAAGTTTTGTGTTAAAACTTAATGAAAAATTAGGGAGTTGAAAAAAATAAAGTTACCAGATAAAGATTTTCGTAATCTCAGACATAAAACAATCTAATTCTAGGGAAATGTGATTGTTACTTCATTAAGAAAATGTTCAGCCGGATTTAGATTTGCCTCTCAATACTTGAATCTAATTTTCTGTATGTTCAGACTTGTAGAAAACATACAAATCACTTAAAAAAATCAAGAATGATGATTCTCATTAAATACAGTCAACTCCCCATAACTCGATCTGCACTAGCTCGATATCAAATTATAGAACCATAGTAAACATAAAATTTCATGGCTACTATGATAGCGATTTTGTATGGGATTTTTATTCTATAACTCGATAATTCTATAACTCGATAATTCTATAACTCTATTGTCCCTTCAGTATCGAGTTGTTGAGAGATAAATTCTTTAGAAAGCATATTTTATAATTTTCAAGATTTTTTCAAACTGTTTCTGAATTTCACTGCTCATGTAAACATCCATACATGTAAACTTCCTTTTCACGTAAACCAGCAACTTGCACGAAATGTTGCTTACAAAGTTGGTTGCACAGAATTTTTGGAAAATATCATGACATGTTTCATACATTTATTTACACGATCTATAGCAAACCCCACACGCATCAATATATTGACGCGATGGGGAATTATTGACAATAATATTGATGATGTGAATTCAGAAATATTGTCAATCTCGATGTATTGACGTCAATAT